TAGAGACCTAAGTATGTGTTTGTTAATTAAATTGAAATGACTGCAGCTACATCATGTTTTCAGTGATCTGTCTGCTGTCATCCTGGAAATACCAAGGCAAATGAAATAATGTTTCATCTGGAGACTTAATATGTCTGGGAACATCTATGTCTCTAGATAGATATGAGAGGACATTAGTAAATATTAAAAAGAAAGGTGTTAAATTGATTGCGATTAGTTGAATGCATTATATTACCACACAGTGATACATTGAATTTATAAGAACATATTCAAATGTATACATATATATATATATATATATATATATATATATATATATATATATATATATATATATATATATATATATATATATACTAGCTTAAAAGCCACCCTATCGAATGCCACTTGATAGGGTGGCTTTTAAGCTAGTTCCTGTGGAAGGCTCTTGATTGGGACTTCATAACACTTGGTATGGAGGAGTAGATGCGATAGGCAACAATAAACTACAGAAGAACTCAAAATTAATCACTGCATTTAAGTATTGCATTAATATTTAAGCTTACCTTTTAAAAGTTCAATGCTAATTCTTCTGCCATCACTTAATTAAAAGACAGTTTGATGTATGTAGGTCCTTACTTTCTGTACAAAGACTTATTTTTATTTCATGGTTGATTTTTTGCTGGATTTCACAATTAATTTTGATTATTCCCAAATTTATTTCCAAGTTATAAAAATTGTTATTGTAGAAAAAATTTGTGGCAAAAAATCACATTAAAAAATCACTGAAAACAATGAAAACTTGGGAATTCAAAATCCAAAATTTCAGAATTGGGGGTCCAGATCCAGCCTGAATGTTTTTAATTTGCTCACAGAGTTGGCTTGATTCTAAAATGGAATGATACGTTGGGCTACGGTCACGAGGAGCAAAGCTGAAAAAGTGTGACATGACACTGACATTCCCATTTATTATATATATATATATATATATATATATATATATATATATATATATATATAGCCCGGCGTTGCCCATGCTTGATTCTAAAATCATACGACTCATACAGCAATCACTATCACTTAAAATATTTTTGTCCTTCCTTGCCTTTTTAAGGAGTGCCCTTTGCTGTGCTGATGTTGCTACATGCCTTACTTCTTGCCTATCTCACACTGCAAATTTTTTTTCTAAGCTCTATACTAAACATTACATCTGTTATGAAAAAAGAACTAAACAAAATGAACACAAAATGATCAGCTTTAAAAAAGGACTCGTAACTGGAAAAACCGAATGAAAAAAGAATGTTAACAACAAATACTTTTTCACACCCAACCCAGTTCTGCGGAATCAGAATCAACGTTGAATTTAAACAAGCGAATGAGCTAATTGAAGTAAAGTGCCATGCAGATTTAAATTTTTTCCACTTGTGACGAATGCAACTATCGATTTTTTTTGCATGCTAGCATGCTAGTTAACATTGGTGTCAGTCAGCTGTTGGCTCTCACGCTGGCCAATAGAATCTTCCTGCCTATTCGTGGCAGCCAGCTATTGGCTCTCACTCTGGCCAGTACAAAATGGCCGCAAACTACATGAAAACTGCCATAGAAGCATGAAAAAATCGATTATTTCCACTATCAATGGGAGTTGGGAAATGCAAAGTCAGTCTTGGCCTTTCTGCTAACTTGGCACATGTGCATGTAAATTTTGGTGCAAATCCATCGAAAATTGCGTCTGTGCATTCATTATACACATACACACACACATCCTGCCTTTTATATATATATAAAAGAGGTACGGTGGAGATGGAAAGCGGCTTGGATTGAGGAATCGGAGAGCTGAGTTCTAATTCCACTCGAATCTATTACATTCACTTACGTGCTAATAACCTTGGGAAAGGTGTGAATCCTATTTTTCTCCCTCCAGCTATGGGTAAATATCAGGACAGACTGGGTTCTATAGCTTTGGAAGGCAACTGGTCTAGGAGAAGGACAAATCTGAATTGAAAACCTGCTGAGCGTCGTTTGGTGACCTTGTGGTACTTAGTGCACCAGGTCTCTGTATTCGGCCCTTCAAAAAGTGTGGATGGTTCTGCACGAAACTTTCACCACTATAAACAAATCTCATGTGCTGTGGTCGGGCTGTCAGTTTCCTGGGAACTGATCTGTTTGACCTTCATATGTCGAGCTCAACGGGAGAGTTGAGTATATATATATATATATATATATATATATATACTCACATACTCAAACATGCAGCAAATAGTGGATAAGTGAATGATGAAATAGTGTCGTTCTTTTTTAATCATTTCACCCAAAGAAAGGCAATAATGTCACTAAGATTTAAGAGGTTACTGAGAATGAAAGAGAATGAGAAAACTTTAATAAGGAGAAAGGACAATAAAAGAACAGAATTCAGGAAGACAGAAGTTGGTGATTGATGTTGCATTTAAATTTTTTAAGAATGTAGGTAGCAGGAAAGCAAGAAACTGAAAGTTCCAAAGATGAGAAGTGCAAGAAAAGAAGCAATTAAAATAAACCTTACAGTTACACCTAACTATTTCAACAGTAAAACAATGAGACCTAGTAGCCAATCTAGTAATACACTTCAATAAAGAATTTAGGCTAATGATGATTTTATTGTTGGGATTAATCTTATAGAAAAGTAGGGAAAAATACAAAAGATGCCAGATACAGTGTTCTTATAAATCAAAATGTTAAAGATACAGGGATGTTCAGCTTCAAATTTAAATTTCGATGTTTGATATATTTAGATGTTTAATTTAATGTAATGCATTCAGCTTTTATAGCCTTTGCTTTTATTTCTTATATTTTATCACTTTTGTTTTTAATTATCCAACATTGTATCAGGCGTAGTTTTGTAAGGAAAGGAGATATGCTGCATGATCTGTAAGTGGATTCTGAAATCTGTGCACTTTCATTACATTTTTGCCTTAATAAATCATTTTTTCTTTTAATCAAAACTGCATTCTTTAAGTCAAAATTATGGTAAGACATGTTACAATGAATGACGAATGCATTGAGTACATTGATTTGTAAAAGATCCCCTTTTATGTCCATATAATCTTTTATTTAAATTCATAGATATCTCACCTATGTAAATTCTTGCTGCAGGTTTTATCTTGTTAGTATTTTGTTTTGTGTTGGTTAAATCACAGATTGTTTTTCCATTTTATCATACATGAATGCATACATATAACAAAGTGGAAAAAGTTTTTTAGGATTTCATCAGACTAAATTTGTTATGTTGATGTGACTACACATGTGCATGAATGAGGGATGCTGGGAATTTTTTAACTTTTTTTTTTAATCTAGCTGATTTCATTTAGATTCTTTTACTTTCCATCATTTTGTTAGTACATATCCCACACGTCCGTGCACATATGTACTCACACCAACATAACAAATTTAGTCCAATGATGTCCTAAAGGACAAAACACATCACAAGAAAATTTATTCCACTTTGTCATATATTTTTCCCCAATATTGTTCTTGATATATATATATATATGTATGTATAAGAGAAAGAAATTAATTTTGTGCCTAACAATGATAATATGAAAACAACAAAGGATATGTACGAAATTTGTACAGCATTCATTAATGAAGTATTAAATTGATTTATTATGAAATAGTCGCTCCTTAAGTAATTCTGTTAAAGAGAAGCGGAAGACTGTTTTAAATGTCTGGATGCTGGAAGACAAGATGGACTGAAGAGTATTAACTTGTCTTTTCCCATTCCTTTTAAAATACTACTTGTGAATTGAAGGACATTGTGCATTGGACTATAATCAATAGGTAAATACAAATAGTTGGCTCAGATTCAGTTGGATAAAATGTGAAGAAAAGGAAAAACAAAGGAAGGAAGGAAGGAAGGAAAGAGAAAAGAAGAAGAAATACGAGTAAGAAAAATAAAGATTGAATAAAAAAAAAGAAAATAAAAAATATGTGCAAAAAGAACAAGAAAAATAAACAAAAGAATAAATTGAATTTTATATGATATTTTACATACAGTGACCACCTTCTTCAATGTACTGTGTCCCTTCAAGACATGGGCAATCATGGCTCTCCACAATTTCCTACCCTTTCTAGCTTTTAGTAAGATTTGTCTTTTTGTTATCTTTCCCAATTCCTGTTCTGACATCTATTTACACAAACTTGTTCGGTAGGTTATTCGCTACTTTCCTCTGCTTCTCCTGCTTTCAATATGTCCTGAGAGAGTCAAATTCTCCAGGCCCTCTTTCCTCATTATGTGCCTTAGAATTTTTTAAGTCAATATGTTCTTTTTGTTTAATTTTACCCACATCATTAATCCATGGTAATCTCAGCAACCTACTGTAGAATCACATTTCTCTTACCTCAAGTCACTTCATCTGTGAGGAGATTGTCCAACATTCTCTGCCAAAGAGGAGGAATTATATAACAGGTTAGTACTGTTTTCTTTTGTTTCTAATCAAATCTTTTAAGGGATTTTTGCTTTTTAAATGCACCTTTTTATTTAACAAATAAGTAAATCCAAAAAGATGAAAACAAAAGAAGGATCATCGGAAAAGAGATAAAGAAAAAAAAGACAATGAAGATAGAGAAATTAAAAAGACACAATGAAGGAAGAGTAACTAGAAAGTGACAATGAAGAAAGAGAAACTAAAAAGAGACAATGAAGAAAGAGAAACTAAAAAGTGACAATGGAGAACGAGAAACTAAAGAGAAACAATGAAGTAAGAGAAACTAAAAGTGACAATGGAGAAAGAGAAACTACAAAGAGACAATGAAGAAAGAGAAACTAAAAAGTGACAATGAAGAAAGACAAACTAAAAAGTGACAATGGAGAACGAGAAACTAAAGAGAAACAATGAAGTAAGAGAAACTAAAAGTGACAATGGAGAAAGAGAAACTAAAAAGTGACAGTGAAGAAAGAGTAACTAAAAAGAGACAATGAAGTAAGACAAACTAAAAACTGACAATGAAGAAAGAGAAACTAAAAAGTGGGACTGAAGAAGGAGAAACTAAAAAGAGACAATGAGGTAAGAGAAATTAAAAAGAGATAATGGAGAAAGAGAAACTAAAAAGTGACAATGGAGAAAGAGAAAATAAAAAGAGACAATGAAGGAAGACAAACTAAAAAGTGACACTGAAGAAGGAGAAACTAAAAAGTGACAATGAAGAAAGAGAAACTAAAAAGAGACAATGGAGAAAGAGAAACTAAAAAGAGACAATGAAGTAAGAGAAACTAAAAAGTGACAATGAAGAAAGATAAACTAAAAAGTGACAATGTAGAAAGAGAAAATAAAAGGAGACAATGATGGAAGACAAACTAAAAAGAGACAATGAAGTAAGAGAAACTAAAAGGTACAATTAAGAAAGATAAACTAAAAAGAGACAATGAAGGAAAAGAAACTAAAGAGTGACAATGAAGAAAGAGACACTAAAAAGCGATAATGAAGAAACAGAAACTAAAAAGAGACACTGAAGAAGGAGAAACTAAAAAGTGACAATGAAGAAAGAGAAACTAAAAAGTAACAATGAAGAAAGAGAAACTAAAAAGTGACAATGAAGAAAGAGAAACTAAAAAGTAACAATGAAGAAAGAGAAACTGAAAAGTGACAATGAAAAAATAGAAAGTAACAAAAGACAATGAAGAAAGAGACACTAAAAAGCGATAATGAAGAAACAGAAACTGAAAAGAGACAATGAAGAAAGAGAAACTGAAAAGAGACAATGAAGAAAGAGAAAGTAAAAAGAAACAATGAAGAAAGAGAAACTAAAAAGTGACAATGAAGAACGAGAAACTAAAGAGAAACAATGAAGTAAGAGAAACTAAAAGTGACAATGGAGAAAGAGAAACTACAAAGAGACAATGAAGAAAGAGAAACTAAAAAGTGACAATGAAGAAAGAGAAACTAAAAAGAGACAATGAATTAAGACAAACTAAAAACTGACAATGAAGAAAGAGAAACTAAAATGTGACACTGAAGAAGGAGAAACTAAAAAGAGACAATGAGGTAAGAGAAATTAAAAAGAGATAATGGAGAAAGAGAAACTAAAAAGTGACAATGGAGAAAGAGAAAATAAAAAGAGACAATGAAGAAAGAGAAACTAAAATGAGACAATGGAGAAAGAGAAATTAAAAAGAGACAATGAAGTAAGAGAAACTAAAAAGTGACAATGTAGAAAGAGAAAATAAAAAGAGACAATGAAGAAAGGGAAATTAAAAAGAGACAATGAAGAAAGAGAAACTAAAATGAGACAATGGAGAAAGAGAAACTAAAAAGTGACAATGAAGGAAAAGAAACTAAAGAGTGACAATGGAGAAAGAGAAAATAAAAAGAGACAATGAAGAAAGAGAAACTAAAAAGTGACAATGGAGAAAGACAAAATAAAAAGAGACAATGAAGAAAGAGAAACTAAAAAGTGACAATGGAGAAAGAGAAATTAAAAAGAGACAATGAAGGAAGAGAAATTAAAAAGAGACAATGAAGAAAGATAAACTAAAAAGAGACGATAAAGGAATAGAAACTAAAAAGAGACAATGTAGAAAGAGAAACTAAAAAGAGACAATGAAGAAAGATAAACTAAAAAGAGACGATAAAGGAATAGAAACTAAAAAGAGACAATGAAGAAAGGGAAATTAAAAAGAGACAATGAAGAAAGAGAAACTAAAAGTGACAATGAAGAAAGATAAACTAAAAAGAGACAATGAATAAAGAGAAACTAAAAAGAGACAATGAAGAAAGAGAAACTAAAAAGAGACAATGAAGTAAGAGAAACTAAAAAGAGACAATGAAGATAGAGAAATTAAAAAGAGTCAATGAAGGAATAGAAATTAAAAAGAGACAATGAAGAAAGACAAACTAAAAGGAAACAATGAAGAAAGAGAAACTAAAAAGAGACAAAGCAGGTAGAGAAATTAAAAAGAGACAATGAAGAAAGAGAAATTAAAAAGAGACAATGAAGTAAGAGAAACTAAAAAGTGACAATGAAGAAAGAGAAACTAAAAAGAGACAATGAAGAAAGAGAAACTAAAATGAGACAATGGAGAAAGAGAAATTAAAAAGAGACAATGAAGTAAGAGAAAGTAAAAAGTGACAATGAAGTAAGAGAAACTAAAAAGAGACAATGAAGAAAGAGAAATTAAAAAGAGACAATGAAGAAAGAGAAACTAAAAAGTGACAATGAAGAAAGAGAAACTAAAAAGTGACAATGAAGAAGTGAAACTAAAAAAAGACAATGAAGAATAGAAACTAAAAAGAGACAATGAAGAAAGAGTAACTAAAAAGAGACAATGAAGAAAGAGTAACTAAAAAGAGACAATGAAGATGGAGAAACTATAAATAGACAATGAAGGAAGAGAAACTAAAAAGAGACAATGAAGTAAGAAAAACTAAGAGACAATGAAGGAAGAGAATTTAAAAAGAGACAATGAAGATAGAGAAAGTAAAAATAGACAATGTATTAAGAGAAACTAAAAAGAGACAATGAAGAAAGAGAAACTAAAAGGAGACAATGAAGAAAAAGAAACTAAAAAGAGACAATGAAGGAAGAGAAACTAAAAAGAGACAATGTAGTAAGAGAAAACTAAAAAGTGACAATGTAGTAAGAGAAACTAAAAAGAGACAATGTAGAAAGAGAAATTAAAAAGTGACAATGTAGAAAGAGAAATTAAAAAGAGACAATGAAGGAAGAGAAATTAAAAAGAGACAATGAAGAAAGCGAAACTAAAAAGAGACAATGAAGAAAGATAAACTAAAAAGAGACGATAAAGGAATAGAAACTAAAAAGAGACAATGTAGAAAGAGAAACTAAAAAGAGACAATGAAGAAAGATAAACTAAAAAGAGACGATAAAGGAATAGAAACTAAAAAGAGACAATGTAGAAAGAGAAACTAAAAAGTGACAATGAAGAAAGAGAAACTAAAAAGAGACAATGAAGAAAGAGAAACTAAAAAGAATTAAAACTTTAAAAAAAAGGGAAAAAAAAAACTAAAAAAGAAGAAATATGAAAATATAAATAAATAAATCATATGAAAAGAAAAGTAAAATGAAAAAAAATGGAATTGTTATCAATTGAGCAACCCAGTGATGAAAAGGTTAAGGGTTATAAGAAGCTACTATGGCAAAATGAAATCAGTTTGTTTGCCATGTGTTATCTTTCATGGGTGTTAGCATTGATAACTCCCACCCCTTATCTTTTTTCAGTAAAAGAAAAAAAAGAAAACATTTTTCTGAGCAAGGAGGTAGGTCTGATAAACACATTGCCCCCAACACAAAAAGTTCTCCTTAATAGGCAAGAAAAAAAAATCTGCATCAGTAGCAGTTGCAGTTTTTAACATTACTGACTAATTATTATGACTTATTTTCACTTATCCAGATTTGTCGGGTTAGAAAATAGTATCCTTTTTAAAATCATTTAACAGCATAAGTACATGTAAAAATTTATATGCATACGTCAGTAGATGTAAATTTATACTGTTTAAAAAATAGAGATGTCTACTCAAATACATGTATCCACTGAATATGCCATTTAAAGTAATATTAGATTTATAGATAAAATTCATGGAAAACATAAAACCTAACTTTTATATCTTATTATATATTATTTTTAATATTTCATTCCTTTATATTAATTTGAAGATTATTCAGAATTTGTTTTTATTCAACCATGCTCAAAATCATAAAATCTACAACTCCATGCCACTGTTAATTGTAAACTCCATAATTTTTTCAGTTGCTACATAGTATACCTTGATAGGGCCACATGACTGCTTTTGAATTCAGTTGTTCCTTTCCTAGACTGGTTGCCAACCATGGCTAGAGAGCCCAGTTAGCCCTATTATTTAAGCTATAGAAGACAAAAATGTGTGAAAAATAAAAAGCAAAAACATAAAAAAAGGAAAACAAATAAGAAAATATAAATAAAAAGAAATATAAAATCTGATAAAATGAAAAAAAGAATTGTTATGAATTTCATGGTGAGGGTGAAGCAATGGATTCATGACTTTCCCAATGGCATTTGTGCAAAAGTGAATGGAACAAACTTGGCCAGAATTTGAACTTGGCTTGATGATTTCTCTTTCTGAACCACTAACCATTTCACTACATAAAATTCAGAAATAGTGGTTTTCTTGCTTGATGGTAGAAGTAGTTGTAGATTCCTCAACTCAGCTAATGGATAGTTCAAATCTAGGCAAAAGTGAAGACAAGACTTGAAGCAACAGAAATGTGTTTCTACAGAAGTATGCTGAGGACACCATAGACCGAACATATGAGCAACGATGACGTTTTAGAGAAAATGGAAATGAAAAGGAAACTTATCAGCAAGAGACGGTTGAAATTTCTGGGGTACATAATAAGGAAGGAGGGCTTGGAAAATTTGGCACTCACAGGACAGATTGAGGGTAAGAGGGAAAGAAGAAAACAGTGCATAACATAATTGATAGGCTTGAGTAAATGGATAGTGGAACAGTGTTTAATAGAAATAATGAGAAGACAAAATTTATTAAGAGCTGCAAAGGACAAGAAAATGTGGAGAGTCATGACTGCCTACATCCTGAGGGGATATGGCACATAAGACATACTAAAATAATGTTTATAGCAATAAGAAATATTGTTGGACTGATAAATCCATTGTTTAAATTACTATCAAAATACTAAAAAGAGCCAAAAAAATAAATAATTTGCAAAATATTTAGGTTCATGTCAGGAAGAAAGAAATGCTATTTGGATGCATGCATTTCATGTTAAATAACTTGGAAAATATTGAGTTGTCATGTTCTATACAGAATCTTATCATATTCTATTGTATATCGTTCCATATTCTATACAGAATCTTATCATATTCTATTGATGTCATATCTTTTCATTTTCTATACAGAATCTTTTGGAAAAGAAATGTCCCAAGGGAAATAAAGTTATTCTGATTTTATATGAAAACAATTCGTATAAGGTGGTGCTGAAAAGTTCTCAGCCTGGCCAAGAAGCCCTCTCAAAAAAACTCTGATGTGTAGTTAAATTTTTCTAAGTGGATTAGACTGAGAATTTTTCAGCACACCTACATAGATCTATATTCCAAAAAGATATGCTAAAACATCTAAACAAATGTTGCATCTCTGATACAAACAAACAGGTCTCTTACTCTTTTATCTTATTTTCTGTCAGTAGATATTGACTTCAGGCTGTGAGTACGAACATTCTGACAAAATTGTGTATCAATTTCATCCTACAAATAATTTATACTAAATTTATTTAAAACAATTGTTATTCTTTTTTCAAACAATTTTTGTGTTTATTTGCAGTGCATAAACTTATAAAATGATAACCTCTTCCCTGAAATTAAAAAAGAAAAAAACATTTAAAAACTTTAAATGTTTTGCAGTAGAGCATAAACAAAATATTTTACTTGTAATAAAATTGAAAGGAATTTGTAATGGCCTACATCTTTAAATCAACGATTAAACACCATTGGATCTTAGTTTCTGGTTGCTGTTGCTCTAGTTTAAGTGCTTTTGACTTTGTATTACAAATAAAGTATAATAGTATTTATAGGTTTATTTATTCCTCTTGAATTAAATATTCAAATGAATCTATAGACTGTATATATAATTGTATCTTTATGAAATCATGTCCAGAATCCAACCTGTCCTAATATGACATAATATGTACATCATTTTACTGTTCTAATACATAAAACATTCAAGAACTGAAGCACTGCTGCTTCTAAGAAATTGAAATAACTATGCAGTATTTTGTATTAGAGATGAAATACAAGCATTTGTAAGAGTGGGATGTGTGTATATCATAGTGGTTATCAGTGCAGAAATTGGGATTGGCATACCAAGGTGGTTGTGATCACTTTTGCCCAAATACCCTTGGGAAACGTAAGACTGTCATTTCCCTTTCAGCTATAGGTTTCAGCCTTGGTAACCAGTCCAGGAGAAGGACAACTCAGACTATAAAAACTAGTTAGGCATGGTACTGGCAGCTCAAACATATAAAAAAAGCCTACTTGCTACAGATACCACAGTAGTGGTATCCAGGCTGTGGTCCTCTACTCTACCTGGGATGAGAAGAACTCTTCTCTCATTGTAAGACTAACTCCATTATTTTTGTAATGTTATAAGAGATAACTAAACACAGTCAAATATTTTACATGGTACCAATAATATTAGATAATATACTGACTTGAAATTCTTGTTAATACTGCCCCCCATCCCTAAAAAGGACAATGTAACATTCATGGTACCCATTCTCTTCTAAAAATATGTTATGAGCAGTATTGTGCATTTTATTCAGTATTTATTAATGATGTAAAACAAAATGTTCTACAGAAGAATGCTGAGGATACCATGAACAAAATATGTGAATAACCAAAAAGTTCTAGAGAAAATGGAAACAAAAACTTAACATCAGGAAGAGATAACTGAAATTTCTAGGACACATAATAAGGAAAGAGTGCTTGGAAAATCTGATACTCACAGGACAGATTAAAGGCCAGAAGGAGAGCAGAAAACAACACATAACATACTTAGTGAGCTTGACTAAATGTATGGCAGAACAGGATTTGGGAGAAAATAACAAAAAGACAAAATTTATCAAGAGCTACAAAGGAAAAGAAATTGTGAAGAACCATTATTGCATGCATCATGAGTGAACACAGCACATGAAGAAGAAGAAGAAGACATTTTAATATTAAAAAAAGCTATCTATTATTTTTTATATTTTTCAATGAAACTTAAGGCATTAAAAAATCACACTCAAAGTGTTTATACACTGGTTGACTTAGGCTAGGCATTTAAATGACAGCATGCTGATTATGTTTTGATGATTATTTTAAAATTATTTTTGCTGAAGTTCTTTATTGCTATATAAAAGCAGCAAAAAACAGATTCTTCTAAAACTGCTGAATTAAACTGTTGATTAAATCTGACCCTGCATCCACTGTATCTATAAAGGTGTGCCTGACCATAGACCCGGGCAAGGAACAAAAATTCCCCGAGCCCCCGCAACTGTCGGTTGTACTGGTCTCGGTGCATGCACCAATCCTTCTCACTAGTGCAATGAGTAGGTGCGGCCTCGGGCAGCTGTTCCCCAGGGCCGGCACCTCTCAGTATAATTTTCCTCAGTTGCAACTCTGTCTTTTGATAGGGTCGCCCCTGAGTGCACTCTGTCCAAAGACAGAGACGCAACTAAGAGATGATAAGTAGATGTGTACCTACTCAAAATGAGTAATTTATACACCACTAACCACTTATAAGTATCCGTTAGGACAGTGGACAAGAGAGTCAAGCTAGGATCTGCGAGACCACGCAGCCTTCAGATAGCAGTATGCACACAATTGTACAGACTTACAATGACCGTGTGCATAACTATTACTTCCTTGCTTGCTGTACTATTTTCTAAAATAAACCTGTTACTATTTATCCACCATGTTTGTCCATTCCATATTCCTATTAGCACGGAATATAACATATATGAATGGTTTATTATATTTCCATATGGTTTAATATATTTCCAAGCATTTATATGAATGGTTTAATATATACAAGGAGATGCTGAAAAGTTCTTGTCAAGACCTACATCTCAAAATCTGATCAAATAACCAAACATCAGATTTATTTTTGGTCAGGTCAATAACTTTTCAGCACCTCCTTGCATATATCTCAACAGATATATACAAATATTTTGTTGCATAAATGTAGATATTTATACAGTTTGTCTGTTGTAGATTTTACAAGTAAAAAAGATTTCACTCGAGATGAACGTTCTTGAACCATTTTTTAGAAATGTTTTTAGAACATTCACTAAAGAAGATACGCAAATGATTTAAGAATAATTTTGGTTGACTTGCAAATTTTTAATATTTTGCAAGAATAAAACAATGATGGTCAACTGATAAAAAGGATTATTATAGGAAAATAATTCCACTACTATCTATCCCAAGAATCCATGGTAAGTCACAGATAATGAAAGATCTCTGGAGAGTCATGACCCCCAATGTCATGAAGAGACGGGGTATTAGAAAAAAATACAATTAAAGAAGCGTGATTTCTATTAGTGTTGATAAATAAAGCATAAATTCATCATGATTAAAAAAAAAATACCTGGATCAAATTGTCTTATCATGTCCTCCCACTGACCGATTTGTTTTGTTTATATATTTTATGTATGAATACAGAAACATAGTAAAATTGACATGAATTCCATTAAATATTTCTGTCAGTAAATCCCAAAATATTAAGAGTAAGATAGGTATAAAAAATGACATCAAATTAATTTCCTATATTTCATATTGGCTGACTGTATGATTAAAGATTTGGAACTTCAAAAACTTTCAGATCAATGGAGAAATAAAATTGCCCTCAATAACAAATGTGAAGAATGAGCCGACAAATCTAAAAATGTTATAGTTTTTATTTTACCCCCATTCTTAATACATCAAAATATAAAAACATCAAATTTTTTTGCATCAAACATCTGTGAAGACTCAGTTAATGACAACCAAAGGGAAAAGGAATTTTACAAATCTGTCTGTCCAAATCAGTGCTTCCTAAACTTTTTTTCTCTGGGCTGCATTTTCGGAATGAAAATTTATTTGTGCCTCACCAAATTTTATGTGATAAAAAAGTACATTTAAAAATAAAAAACAAGAGTGAGGATTAAAGTGAGATAACCGCGGATTTGAAGTCAGAATATTATCATTGATAACTCTTCAATTTGTGGACCCTAATTACTATATTCTTAATATTTGATATTTTATAACTATTTATACTGGGACTATTGCATGCAATTACAAATAATCCATAATATTTTAAATTCTGAAATCATATTTATTTTTGGCATATAATTTTTTTAAACTGTTTCTAAATCTTAGATTGTCTTTCAATCATTCTACCTTACCATTTTTCCCTTATGCTATCCTCTTCTGCCACTTCTGCCAAACTGATTCCATTTGGGAAAGGTCAAAAAAATGGACCAGAACAACACATTTGGGAACCACTGACCATGGAAAAAAAACTTTTCAAGCATGGACCAGAACAATGATTCAATAAAGTTCTAAGATTAGTTTTCCCATTATGTTTAATCATTGGATGCTTTCCAAATGGACCAGGATTCAAGCATTTAAAACTTTGACACTTTCAAGCAAATACCAGAACCTCAAATGGACCTAATTATTTTTCAGAACTAACTGATTGATATTTTCATAATGGATTCATTTTTTCAGCATGGACTTGTCAGTTTTCCATCCAAACTTATTTTTCAAGTTGTCCAAACTAGTACTGATTCAGATGGATAGAACCTACACTGATTCAAGCATGGACCTTAAAACCTTTCAATTCCAGAATGGACCAGAATTTGTTCCAAATTTCACTTTCAAATTAATCACCTTTCTTTGATTTTTGATTCCAACCAGTTCATTTCCCTATACTTATTTTTTTTTGACATTGCATTTTATCAACCAAACTAACACTCAAGCATGGACCAGGATTCCAAGCATGGACCAGAACTAACACTTTCTTGGACCAGAACTCACTGATTCAAGATGGACCAAACTAACACTGATTCCAAGCATGGACCAGAACTAACACTGATTCCAAGATGGACAGAAAACAATTCCAAGCATGGACCAGAACTATAAGAACTAACACTGATTCCATGGACCAGAACTAACACTGATTCCAAGCATGGACAAACTCACACTGATTCTCATGGACCAGAACTAACACTGATTCCAAGCATGGACCAGAACTTTTTGGACCAACTAACACTGATTCCAAGCATGGACCAGAACTAACACTGATTCCAAGCATGGACCAGAACTTCCAAGCATGGACCAGAACTAACACTGGATGGACCAGAACTAACACTGATTCAAGCATGGACCAGAACTAACACTGATTCCAAACTAACATGGACCAGAACCAACACTGATTCAAGCATGGACCAGAACTAACACTGATTCCAAGCATGGACCAGAACTAACACTGATTCCAAGCATGGACCAGAACTAACACTGATTCAAGCATGGACCAGAACTAACACTGATTCCAAGCATGGACCAGAACTAACACTGATTCCAAGCATGGACCAACTGTATTTGATTCCAATGGACCAGAACTAACACTGATTCAAGCATGGACCACCAAACACTGATTCCAAGCATGGACCAGAACTAACACTGATTCCAAGCATGGACCAGAACTAACACTGATTCAAGATTCCAAGCATGGACCAGAACTAACACTGATTCCAAGCATGGACCAGAACCAGAACACTGATTCAAGCATGGACCAGAACTAACACTGATTCCAAGCATGGACCAGAACTAACACTGATTCCAAGCATGGACCAGAACTAACACTGATTCCAAGCATGGACCAGAACTAACCACTGATTCCAAGCATGGACCAGAACTAACACTGATTCCAAGCATGGACCAGAACTAATTCCAACACCAGAACTTCTGATTCCATGGACCAGAACTTCCAAGCATGGACCAGAACAAGCATTCCAAGCATGGACCAACTTACTGATTCCAAGCATGGACCAGAACTAACACTGATTCCAAGCATGGACCAGAACTAACACTGATTCCAAGCATGGACCAGAACTAACACTGATTCAAGCATGGACCAGAACTAACACTGATTCCAAGCATGGACCAGAACTAACACTGATTCCAAGCATGGACCAGAACTAACACCGATTCTGATTCAAGCATGGACCAGAACTAACACTGATTCCAAGCATGGACCAGAACTAACACTGATTCCAACTAACACTGGACCAGAACTAACACTGATTCCAAGCATGGACCAGAACTAACACTGATTCCAAGCATGGACCAGAACTAACACTGATTCCAAGCATGGACCAGAACTAACACTGATTCAAGCATGGACCAGAACTAACACTGATTCCAAGCATGGACCAGAACTAACACTGATTCCAAGCATGGACCAGAACTAACACTGATTCAAAGCATGGACCAACACTGATTCCACATGGACCAGAACTAACACTGATTCAAGCATGGACCAGAACTAACACTGATTCAAGCATGGACCAGAACATGATTCCAAGATGGACCAGAACTAACACTGATTCCAAGCATGGACCATGGACCAGAACCAGAACTAACACTGATTCCAAGCATGGACCAGAACTAACTGGACACTGATTCCAACATGGACCAGAACTAACACTGATTCAAGCATGGACCAGAACTAACACTGATTCAAGCATGGACCAGAACCAACACTGATTCCAAGCATGGACCAGAACTAACACTGATTCCAAGCATGGACCAGAACTAACACTGATTCCAGCATGGACCAGAACTAACACTGATTCAAGCATGGACCAGAACTAACACTGATTCCAAGCATGGACCAGAACTAACACTGATTCCAAGCATGGACCAGAACTAACACTGATTCCAAGCATGGACCAGAACTAACACTGATTCAAGCATGGACCAGAACTAACACTGATTCCAAGCATGGACCAGAACTAACACTGATTCCAAGCATGGACCAGAACTAACACTGATTCCAAGCATGGACCAGAACTAACACTGATTCCAAGCATGGACCAGAACTAACACTGATTCCAAGCATGGACCAGAACTAACACTGATTCCAAGCATGGACCAGAACTAACACTGATTCCAAGCATGGACCAACTAACTAACACTGATTCAAGCATGGACCAGAACTAACACTGATTCCAAACTAACTGATGGACCAGAACTAACACTGATTCCAAGCATGGACCAGAACTAACACTGATTCCAAGCATGGACCAGAACTAACACTGATTCCAAGCATGGACCAGAACTAACACTGATTCCAATGGACAACTAACACTGGACCAGGACCAGAACAACACTGATTCCAAGCATGGACCAGAACTAACACTGATTCCAAGCATGGACCAGAACTAACACTGATTCAAGCATGGACCAGAACTAACACTGATTCCAAGCATGGACCAGAACTAACACTGATTCCAAGCATGGACCAGAACTAACACTGATTCCAAGCATGGACCAGAACTAACACTGATTCCAAGCATGGACCAGAACCAACACTGATTCAAGCATGGACCAGAACTAACACTGATTCCAAGCATGGACCAGAACTAACACTGATTCAAGCATGGACCAGAACTAACACTGATTCCAAGCATGGACCAGAACTAACACTGATTCCAAGCATGGACCAGAACTAACACTGATTCCAAGCATGGACCAGAACTAACACTGATTCCAAGCATGGACCAGAACTAACACTGATTCCAAGCATGGACCAGAACTAACACTGATTCCAAGCATGGACCAGAACTAACACTGATTCCAAGCATGGACCAGAACTAACACTGATTCCAAGCATGGACCAGAACTAACACTGATTCCAAGCATGGACCAGAACTAACACTGATTCAAGCATGGACCAGAACTAACACTGATTCCAAGCATGGACCAGAACTAACACTGATTCCAAGCATGGACCAGAACTAACACTGATTCCAAGCATGGACCAGAACTAACACTGATTCCAAGCATGGACCAGAACAACACTGATTCCAAGCATGGACCAGAACTAACACTGATTCCAAGCATGGACCAGAACTAACACTGATTCCAAGCATGGACCAGACTAACACTGATTCCAAGCATGGACCAGAACTAACACTGATTCCAAGCATGGACCAGAACTAACACTGATTCCAAGCATGGACCAGAACTAACACTGATTCCAAGCATGGACCAGAA